TTAAACAAATGTCACATTTATTTACAAAAGCCTGAATTGATAGGAGCATGTTCGGCCAGTGATAATTTCTACGTAGATGTTTATACGTTTCCTGAATACCGCGATGTATATTTTTACCTTCGTGATATTTTTTTATAAGATTTTGTTGTTCTGTCTTATTTTCTACTAATGTGACACGGGTTGTACACCTAAATAACTTTGGGCCTCTTTCATTAAAGACTGTGGTGTATATTTTTGAAAATTCTAAATAAAGGTTTTCGTCGAGAAAGTAACAGTGAAAAACTCTATCTGCTACAGTATGCTCTTTTAGAAATTTTATTATTTCGCGTTCAGTATTGTTAATTGGTATAAATACATCTTTAATTGTTGTTTTAGAATTTGTGGACCTATCCTCTACTCTATATATAGATCCTGAAGTGGACCTTATGTAGAATTGTTTTTGCTGTCTTTCTATAGCGTCTTCTATAATTGGAATTCCTATATTGTCGTTATCTGGTTGGGTGTGTTTGGTAGATATGAGGTGACCTGGCTCAAATGAAGTTGTACTCATACTATCGGTTGATGTATGTGTTTGTATTGTAGGTGGGTTTATTGTAGGCTGTACATTTAAAGGGTTTACTTGGGTTTCAGGGGGATCAGCTTCAGCAGCTTCAGATTCAAGTTCCCTACGTGCGTTTTCAAATATACGTGGGATAATTTCGTCGTCATCGTTGTCATCGAAATTTACTAACAGGGATTCAATGCTATTATGAAATATTTTTGCTCTGGATAAAGCATCCGCATTAGTGTTCTGTTTACCCTTTTTGTATATAACTTTATAATCATACTCAGCTAATTTTAACCTCCATCTTGTTAATTTTGAATTTGGGTCTTTGAGGGACATCAGCCATGTTAATGGTCGATGATCTGTATAGATAGTAAATTTACGGCCGTATAAATATGGTCGGAAGTATTTTACCGCCCATACTATAGCTAGCAACTCTTTTTCAATAGTTGAATAGCGGGTTTCTGTTTCAGAAAGTGTCCTAGATGCATATGCAATAGGTTTGTCTGAACCTAACGGGCCTTGAGAGAGGACTGCTCCGAGAGCAAAGTCTGATGCGTCTGTGGTAAGTATAAAGTCCTTGTCAAAGTCGGGGAATTGCAAGAGTGGGTCGTTGGTTAGTATTTGTTTACATTTATTAAAAGCATCTATGAACTCAGGTGTATGTGTAACTTTGTGATTTTTTTAAACAAATAGTCATAGGCTTTGTTAATTTAGCAAAATCTTTAATGAACTTTCTATAATAACCAACTAAACCGAGGAAAGACTTAATGTCCTTCTGTGTTTTTGGGATAGGGAAATTTAAAACAGCTTTTATTTTATCTTTATTAGGTTTAAGTCCGTCGGCTGTTAGTTCATGTCCTAAGAATTGTACATGTTTCTGTAAAAATTCTGATTTATCGAGTTGAATTTTGAGATTATGAGTTTTTAAACGATCAAATACTTGTTTTAATTTATTCATGTGCTCTTGTAGTGACGTAGAAGCTATTATAACGTCATCTAAATATGTAAATACGTTATCGAGTCCACGTAAAATATGATCCATTAGTCTCTGGAATGTACTTGGAGCATTTTTGAGACCAAACGGCATTCTTAAAAATTCGAAATGTCCCCTTTCTGTTGAGAATGCTGTTTTCTCAATATCACGAGGGTGCATTTCTACCTGGTGGTACCCACTTGCTAGATCTATTGTACTGAAGTACTGTGCACGTCCTATCGAGTATATCGCTAATGTTCGGCAAAGGATATTTGTCTTCAATAATCCTATCATTAAGTCGCCTATAGTCAATGACTAATCGCCACTTGACTTTGCCAGAAGCGTCAGGCTTCTTAGGGACTATGTGAACAGGGCATGACCATGGTGATATACTTTCGCGGATAATGCCTTGTTTCATAAGGTTATCGATTTGGGATTTAATTTCTAATCTTTGTTGTGGGGCTTGTCTATAACTACGTACAAAAATCGGGGTGTCGTCAGTTAATCTTAGTTCGTGTTTAACAGCGTGAGTGAAGGTTAAAGGGATGTTTTCGGAATAAAATAGATCTCTATACTGATAGCACAATTTAGTTATCTCGCGTTCCTCTTCTTCGTTCATATGGCTAGATCGAATTTTCTTTAAATTTTCACATAGTTCTTTATCAATATTTATATTACTTTGCATTGAATATGAATAATGAATCGGTTTTTCATTTTGCTTATATGGTTGTAATTCGATTGGGGATTTGTTTGTAATAATTTTCTTTTCTGTATTTGAATTAATGATTGATGTTAGGAATGTCCCATTATGAACCTTAACTATCGCCGCTGGAGATACTAAACCGGGTGTCCAACTGTACTCGTCATGGATATACTGTCCGTCTGTCCGTGTGTCATGGATATACATTTAATTTTAATTATTTTTTTGGCACATCGGTTCTAATCGAATATTCTTTTTGGGGTAATCGAAATAAATTGGTATGTCAGTAGTATGGGTGCGAAGTATTTTATTTTTTAAATCAATATTACTCGAGAGTGATTTTAATAGGTCTAATCCAATTAATCCTTTATATTTATTGTCAAACTCGAAAATGAGAAATTTGTGAGTGATGTTCGAGTTAAAGACTGATGGTAGGGGCAAATGAGCGACATATGCATGTTGCGTCACCGCGTGAGCTGTCTTTACCTCGAATGGTTCGTAATCGATGCATTGTTCGAGTTTCGCGTATTGAATGACATCGGGCGATATCATAGAACGTGAGGCGCCAGTATCAATGAGAAACTTTCCATTAAACTCGGGGATTATTATGTACGGGAGATGATCTTTATCTTGGTTGTTTAGTTTTATCAACTCTGGTCGTCTTCGTCCTGAGTTTCGGAAAAATCCTGAGATGTTTCAATTTGTTCTTCTATTAAGTTAGTGTTAGGGTAGTAATTGTTATGCTGTTCGTCATGAGGGGAATAATAATCTAACGGGTTGCAATAATACTGAGGTGTGTCGGACTTACCTTCGTACGGAGTGTAGAATAATTCCTCATATGCATATTGTGGAGGTGTCGGTTTGTTAACCGATCGCATAGTGACGTCAGATGTAAGTTGATTCGGACTTACCTGTTGTTGTGGAACGTTCGGCTGTCTTTGCTGGTTATTGTTACTCCTAAAGTTGCCTGAGTTTTGCTTAAAATTACCGAGGATTGGTCTATTCTTCCAGGGTAATAATGAATTAACTAACTGTTGCCGTTGTTCCGGGCTGAGATTATTTTGTTGAGGTACATATTGATTAAATGGCATTTGTCGTGAAAAATGTGGCTGCATTGAAAAATTGAATGGTGTACCTACTTGACCATGAAATTGACGTGGAAAATTATTAGGTTTATAATTATCTATTTTTGTAGCTTTTTGCTGTTGGTTTTGGAAATTAAAACTAGAATTATTCTTATAAGTAACTGATTTCGTCTCCTCCTGTCGTGCGGTTACTATTGCAAGTTCCAATGTACCTGGCATCATAATTCTTACGCCTATTGATATATGGAAGTCAAATTGACTGATATATTGCTCAATAGCCATTTTCTCATAGTACGATTTGTCGATGTGTTGCCCAACCATATACAGAGTATCTAAAAGGTCCCTAATCCTTTTACCGAAGGATTCCGCATCCTCGTTTTTATTCCGACGGATACGTGTGAGCTCTTGCATAACTTGAATCTCGTTCCTAGGTTCTCCTAGACGTGTTAGTAGAACGCGTTTTATATCGGGCCAACTGTTTAATGACTCCTCATAAGCTATCGCGTCAATCGCCGCACCACTAAGGCGACTTTTTATAAGACAAACTATAGCTAGAGAGCCTGCATCCGCTGTTGGGTGGATAAGTCCCATTAAATTATCAACTTCTCTTAAATAAAAGTTTAATCTTTTAGGGTTCCCATCGTATTTGGGCATGAGTTCAGTAATCATCTTATAGTCTGCTGCGAACTCCATTTTAATAATATTTTATATTTATGATAATAACTATACTACTATTAATACGTGTATACACACAGAATTCAATTGATTTTAAATTGACTTGTGAAATCTATAGCGATACGAGCCTATAGACAGATACACATTAAAATTCACTTATAATTAAATACGAAAGGAAATAGAGCATAGGATGTACTTGGAAAGTAATAGAGTACTCACCAACACAGCATCTTCTGCATCTCCGTTTCGGGTCTCGTCGATCACAGGTCTCCAATTTTCTGGATTCCCGCAAGTCTTCAATATGCCGCCGTTATAGTTCTTATTATGAGATCGCGGATAGTTACGATTAGCACCGTTCACTCTAGTTCTCAACACACGAAGAGTCTATTCGCGCGAGGACTACTATTTGCAAAGTCCTAGAGTGCCGCGATCCTACCGACTGCGCCACTTATGTTACGGCGGGCGATATTTGCCTTTTAAAAATATATTTTATTTAATTAAAACAATGAAATTATTAAAGTACAAAAAGTGTAATTATGTCTAATGATCGAACAAGACTACTGTAACAATATAACAATTAATAATTGGTGTTAGGTGCCGATTCGTGGTAATTTGCTGTTCCTGGTAGCGGTGTCAGCTTATTGTGCCACACACAGCAATTTACCAGGCGTTACGCCATGGTAACTAGAGCAAGAAGTTTATTAGTAAAATTATTTTATGGGTAATTTCTAATATAAATAATAGATATTAGAGTGATAACTACATTGGACGTAGAACAGATAAGATTCATTTATCATTTCTATATTACTTTACTACTCTTTCAGTATTTTAAAAATTGCATATGGCAACATTAACGTAATGTCATTTACTTCTATGTCAATCTGTCAATCGTATGACATGTGAATACAATCTGAAGTCAATGGCTGTATGGGCTGAGTCCTTTTGCCTTTCCCTGAAACGGGAAAAACCGAAACAAAAAAAAAATTCCAATACAATTAGAACTTGTCTGTACAAGTTGTTATTATTTATTTATATCTAATATTTATATTTTTTACTTAAAACTTTGATTGAATCCAATTTAGTACTATAATAATGAATTTTTAAATCATATAACTGTTTTTAAATAATGAATTGATAATAATAATAGAAATATGTGGACGCTTTTAAAAAATCAGTCTTCGTTTTATATGACATTTTCGTCAAGAGACGACTATGAAGTTTTAGTCACGAATTTTATAACTTTATGGACTTCTAATTACAATGAATCTAGTTTATTGACTAGTTTGAAGGTAATTATATAATTATACTTTTTCGTGTAATTGGAATAATAATACATATAAAAATGTGGGTATATCATGTTGATAACATTAATAATCGTCATTCTGCCTACACCATCTGAAATTACAGTTGTGGTGGTCGGTTTTGAGTTTGTATTGTCATATTTATAATTTGTTATAGAATAGTAACCAACTGGAGATACGAGACCAGTCATTAATAGAAAAGGGCATTGATATGTTATCAAACACGAATAGTTTGAAAAATATTGAAATAAATCAGGAAGGAAACACATTGAATATGTGTATGGTGAAAGCATATGAATACTCTGTAAAACTGCATCTTACACTTGTGGAGGCATCAAAAGAACTGGTAATTCTAACTTGCCCATCCTAATTAATTCCAATGTTTTGTCTTTTTCTTCCAAATTAAGAGTTTAATGTAAATAATTCAATGTTGATATAGTTTTAACATACATATAACTGATATTTTTAAGAAAATTATAACTGTAACAATGAAATAAGAAGTTATGATAAAGGTCAGTTGAAACATAATTCTGTTCTGAGTGAATGTAATTCCATCAATAGATTTATGAGTAGCCAACAGCAAAAGTTTCCAAATTCCAAACCTACATAGTATATAGTAAGTTTATTTTTGGATGATGGAATGTTGCACCCGCCTGAGCAAACAGTTTATGCTGTCGGAACACCAGGGTAAACCATGGATGATAAGATGAACATGAGGTCATTCACCATGAATTTATCATGATAGTTTCCAGGGGGAACCACATGGAGATCAACCTGACATGGTGCATTGCTAGCAATGGGCTTTTTAGTCCAATTTGCTAACAATCATTCCCCTTCCCCCCAGTAATTAGTTATATTGCTATTAATTACTGTGTTATATTTCTTTCATACTCTATTGTGATGTTACCTTTATGTTTTTCATTGTAAATTTATACTTTTTCATCTTTGCTTAAGAGAAAAACTGGTCAGATTCAATTAGAAAACTGTACTATAATTCCCATTCACTTCAAAAACAAAATGTATGTTACTATTTTATATTTTCTTTTAGTTCTTTCAGAAAATCACACAGCCGTTGTTAAAAATAATTGTGGATATGAAAACAAGTGAAAATCAGTTAAGACATTTCCTCAGAAATAAAGGTAGGTACTTCAGACTCGAAAAACACTGCTAGAAAAACATATGCTCTGATCAACTTCAGGATAGGATTTTGGAGGCACACATGAGATTGCCAGACTGTGAGACCGGAAAAATATATCTTTTGGACTTTTAATGGCTTGTAGGTAGATATATTGCTTCACATTGGGATGGAACTCCACTTGACAAATTATACTCTGGTGTAACATTAACCTACTAATATGGGGGGGAAGGGAATTGTTAGTAAAGAGTAGTCAGTTAGGTCTCCACATGGTCTCTAACTGGAAATCGTCTTGTTTAATTCCTGGTGATTTTATCATTATGAGCTAAATGATCTGACACCAGGCCAATTCATACTCTTTACACAAAGAGATGCAACATTTTATCATTATCTATTAAAGAAAAACCTATTAATATTATTTATCCAGAACATTTTGCCTGTTTGTATACACCTAATATTTAAATATAAACCTCTGGCTGTAATGTGACATTAGATTTATAACTTATTCTTTTTATTTCAGATCATTTAAAACGGAAATATGATGATGAAACTCACATGAGAAGTCACCAAGAATTTGAAAGTATATTTGGAGATTCAAAGATACCTGAGTGTATATTGCAGAAAATGAACAGCTTTCCACATACAAATTATATGTTAGTATATTATACTGTACTTACTTTATATGTCAATTTATTGTTCTAAGAACTAAAATTTGTCCGAAATATCTTGGCAATACATGTTCAAATCCATAGATTATGATGGATTTGTAAATATCAAATTTATTATATATTAATTGTGTTTAATATTAATTATAAATGCTAATTTGTTTGTTACCTTGAATGGTTGAACAAATCCTAGTGAAATTTGTTATAACGGTAAAATGTAACATTTTATCTCAAATAATTATAAGGGAAGAAATCAAGGGTAATAGTTTTAAATAAAGCATTAGATATAATCTTTTTTGTCTATCTAATTGTTGAATTTCATTATATTTGTTTCATGAATGACCTTTATGAATATATAAATATAATTTACTTTGCCTGACCATATTTTATGTATTTACAGAAAAGAAGAAAATGGAATTACTACAGAGAGAGAACACAAAATACATGTTAAATCGGAACCTGATAGTCAAACAAATTCACGTACTCCAATAACAATAAAATCTGTTAATATAAAAAAAGAGATAGTAAAAACAGAAGCAGAATGTAGTCCGAATGCAAAAACTAAAAGGAAGAAGTTAAATTTGTAGTATATCTAGTAATGTATGAAATAATAATATTATGAAATGGTAAATTCTATTGTTGAATAGAAATATTATAGTTTATATAATATAGTATAATTTAATGTATTGATATAATTGTAATCAAGTAATAATTATTGTTATTGCATGACATTAAGAAAACCAAAAAATTCCACATTATTTGGGTTACTGATAAGCCAAACATAATACATATGTTGGTATATGGCTATCCAACGTAGTTTTTAAGGGATTTTACTTCTTTGGTAAGATGTAATCATTAATCAAGTTTGACAATGAAAGATGGTATATAAGTAAATCTTTATTATACATAGAACAATTAAAACCTAATATTAGTTGTGCTGGTGATGTAATCACTGTTACTAATAATGTGATTAATTGGAGATAAATCAATATGATACGAACAGATATTGATTTTACAAGTCGATGTACTTATGTAGTAATAAGGAATACAAAACAATGTGATATTTTTGAAATTTTCTTGTCAAGCAGTTCTTAATTTTATTGTAATGAAATAGAGTTTTAAATAAAACAAGATATTAAATTTTATTAACTAAAATATTATTTTTTTATCAAGAATCTCCACTTGGAGAATTACCTTATCTTTTAATATTTTAGTTAACTGTAGATTTACCTTTACAAAAGTTGTATATATTATTATAGTTTAAAATCTAATGTTATTCGTTGTATACAATATTGCATCAACTGCCAAATATGGTAGATTGAAAAAAATAAGATGGAAACATGTAAACAAATAACAATAAAATCAAAGCAGAAATTTATTTGACTATTAAATGTTGTAAACTTTTTCCACGGTTGTTTATAATTGTATACAGTAAATAAACTGGATATTTACTTTGTAATTTATGTTATTTATACAAACGTCCTGGACAGGGGTCTACCCGTGATCAGGGCGATTGTAACGGCGCGTAATGTCATATATTACATAATGTATACTAAAATACTGTTAGCCATTACATGATGTTAATTTTGTTATAACATTTGTTATGCTGTCCAGCAGCTAATAATCACACAAAATTGGGGCCAGCCCGTTGTGCTAAGCACAGTATAAAACAAATGCATATTATAGTATACTACATCGCAACTTGATAATATTATTTCCGTAGGTCCATTAGGTTGTCGTTTTACCTATATTTTTAAGTTACTGACAATAATTACCTACTTATATATAGTTTCTACCGAAAGTGATATATACTTATATATTTAGTATCAACTACCGATCTAATTATAACATCAAAAGCCTTTTTCTCCAATATAATCGCATTAGTTGTAACTAATTCGCCCGATATAAATGCAATATTTCATATTTTGTAACAAACGAGCTATTACAAATACCATTCCTAATAATTATTTAAATTCGTTAGATATAATGTGCCTTTTATCGAGTCTATTTAGTTAATTTTCGCTGAGCAATTTGTTTGTAGGCTTCATTGTACCTACAGTGATAAAAGGCCTTATTGTGAAATGTTTTTGTTATTAATATGTATATTATATAGGTACTAACATTTTATTATATATATAGAAAGTATATTGTATAATATTCCTACAGTCAAGTAGATAAAGATTAAAATTGACCGACTGATTTCTTTATACAACTGTAGAATACTTTTACAGATGCTACAAGTCTTATTTAAATAAGAACGCGCTGTTAATAAAATGTTAATTTATAAACCTTTTACGCTTTTCCAATTTAAAAAAAACTGACAACGACATCCCAAACCCTTGTACTATTTGAATGGTAGGCAAAACGATAACAATGTATGTTAATTTATACAAATATAAAAAAAGCACTATAAATCAGTGCTTCTTAAAGTTGACTCCACATATATATCACCTCACAATGGGAATTATATCTAAATCTGCATACACAAAAAGAGCAGAAACTATTAGTGATTGTCAGGTTCAGTGGTTTCATGGCCACTCGCGACCTATAGTTTGGAAAATACCTACTGATATATATTTATTAGTAATGATATCATGAAAATCATTTTTATCTTATCTGATATTATTATAAAGAACTAACCTTTAATAAATACTGAAGAACCATTTTTTTTAAAAGAGATGGAAATTATATGTCAGTGATTTAAAAAACTTCAAATCAATGTCTACTCTCGTAATGTAATATAAATCAATATGTACTCTCAAATGTTTTTTTCAGCGCCATATAGGTAGCATCCTAAAGAAATAAGTGGGTCGATCTGTATGTTATCTTTGTTGAGAAATATTCTAAGGCCAGTAAAATTGCTATAATAGTTTTATAATGGATCAAGTTAGAAATAGATATTAATAATCCACAATTGCAGTGCGATCAGAAATTGCGACAGTTGTTACACGCAAAATAGCACACAGAATATGCGAGAAGCTAGCTCTAGATTACTAATTAGGGGCTATATTCACTATGATTTCAAACCATAAACTCCTTATGCCCCTATATTTCAATATAAATGCTTCAAGCAAGTGACTATACATAGTTATGTGCAAAGGGTATAGCAATTCACTGATAGAATTAATAAAACGAACAATTCTGCCAAGTAAAGCAGAAAATAAGTTATTTTCGAAAACTTCATATGAATTACGCGATCACGTGATCAACTTAGTATTGAAAATTTTCCATTTTATTTCATTGTGACGTTCAGGTTTATGATTATTCTACCTAGCTTTTGACGTCGTATATCCTTTTCGGCTAACCGGTATAATTAGTTTTTTTTTAAATACATATATAGCCACTTGTTTAGAAGATATAGTTCTTATAAAACGTCTTACATGTGTAACTCTCGTAGAGACAATCAACTGGTGACAGAGAGGTGGGCGATATCTATGTCGGCGTTATATATTTATTGGTAAGTATATTATAGCTACGCAGCTAGGTGAAGCGACGACATACGTAGGGTGGAGGGTAAAAAACGAACGAGAAGGGCTGAATACTGTACCTTGGCATAGGCCTGTGTCAAGCAGTGGACTGCAGTGGGCTAGTAATGATAATTTTATGACAAAACATTTTGTACCAATTTTAGTGTGTGTGTGTACAATTACTAGCATATTATTGCGTAAATAATAAATAAATGTGAAAAATTTTGCTATTGACAAGAGTTCTGCGTATTTGATAAAACTTTCATTTTAAATCGTGTTAAATAAATGTCTACTTTATCGACATTTTTATTAGAAATCAGAATTGAGGAATTCCTATGTTACAGTTATTGCTGCCTATGTGAGTTACACATACAGTAAATCAACCTGGTGCAATTAAAACAGACATATCAGTGTTTTGTCAATCCTCACATATGTATATACATGTCTGTTGAAATGTACACAAATCCAATAAGAAATATGCTAATACTGGCTAACAGCTACATTTTGACACGTCTGTTTCGGACTCCGATGGTTTTATCACATTGTCCCTCTCCTTCAATTCAAATGCGTCGGCCTGAAATTATATAAAATTTATGTTATACTACAGCAATAATTTAGTTCTTTTATTCATTTATTGTTATAACAAAACTATACTTTGTTTTTAATTATGTTCTTCATGAATAAATTCATCAAATATAAAAAAATATATACTAGAAAGTAACGGTTGTAATAAAGATTCAAATTATAATTTTAGCGCTATTTATTTAAGGCTATAATTTTATTCTTTTTCTTCCACCATGCTCAGATTATAATATAGTATAATTTTCGTCACAATATAACTAAGTAGGGGTGATTTCAAGAACACAAATCCAAACTTTTCACCTTTAACAATTTATGTACACCTAGATATATGTATATAGTATGTATTTGTCGTACAAACAAACAAAAAAATTGTAGTAGTACCTGCATAGGACTCCAGTTCTAAAAATATGCAATGGTCTTAATTTCATGATTTTTATACATACTGACAATACATACCTTAGTCTCTCTGTATTCTCTAATCTTTCTCGCTAACGTCAAGAATGCTTCTTCAATATTTATGTTGCTCTTACATGATACCTCGAAAAAAGGCATATCAAAATCATCGGCGATCTGTAATATAAACTTTTTACTATTAAAATGTACTTAAATGGACCGTAAAGAATGAGCTTAACCTTAAATCATTTATTATTAACGGCGTCACCCCAATAAAGCATGTATAACGACATCCCTTTGATTAAACCTGTTTAGGTAATGTACACATTGTGGAACGTTCCGTCTAGAAACGCACATTACACCCGAAAATCATTCACGATGGTATAAACATGTAGGTACATTGAAGTTTTAGTACAACTTCCAAATGGGACACAATATGTCCAACGTGACAATGACATTTTCCGGGTCCAGAATGTACAAGCGGATTGATTTTTTTTATCGAATTATTACTTCGTATATAAAAAGTATAAATAATTAACCCCGGAGGTTATGGTATGTTTGTGATGTTATGGAAGTTAGCACTTTTTACATATCCCGAATGCCATATTGACTTGAACATTCTACTAATATTATCAGTAAGGAAGTTTGTACGAATGGACGGATGGCTTGCTTAAACGCAAAAATTAGGTTAACAAGACGTATATAATAAACATAGTTTAATATTTATGCGGACCGCACTGAGATACAGCTACTAAATATTAATTATAAATTTACCTTTTGTCCCCTTTCTTTGGGTACAGCTCGATGATTCTCGTGAACATCGCATTTGTTGCCAACTAATACTTTAATAACATCTGGGGATGCATACTGTGAAATTATAAGTTCTAATTAATAAAGTATGTATAGACAGATAAATATTTTATAGCTACTTCTCTCCTGTGCTATTTATATACCAACCTATATAAAATGCACCTCAATATCTTTTGCTAACGACGTAACTTGAAAATGACGCAACCGATTTAATTATATATACTTTTTGGTTATTTTCTAGTACTTAATAGTCTTATGATAGAAAAAATAAGATAATTATAACATTGCAGTAAAATTAACGACGTATTTAACTTTGCGCATTTGGCGACCACTATTTATACATTCAATCGATATATCCCAAATAACTCGGAATGGAGGGCAAGACATTAATTAATTAATATCCGCTCTAACTGTATTACAGATATTAAAGGATTTTGTTTGAGTAAACTCCGGTACTAGAAGAAGTATATGTAGCTACATCATCTTGAAGTCACGGAGTTCGTAAATAAAATGTATCTACTTATACTATATACGCAAATTTGCCTAACACAATTTATCAGGCGTTTGCTCACCTCTTGAATGTTCCTCAGCCAATACGACAAATGGTTGAACGATTCGAGATTGGTGATATCATACATAAGAATAATGCCCATAGCACCTCTGTAGTAAGCAGTGGTTAGCGTACGGAACCTCTCTTGGCCTGCAGTATCCCATATCTGGAGCTTGATCGGAACGCCATCGAGATTTATGATCTTTTGTTTGAAGTCTATGCCTGGAAACGTATGACAAATAAAATTTAATCTCCACTTACAATGTAATTTAATTCATATAAGTACAAGGTATTTAACATATACTGGCTGGATATGTTAAATTATATTTTTGGTGAAACTACTTTAATGTCGTGTATTATATATCATTTAAGAGCCTACATGGAATACACGTAAGAGGAGTGAAGAGGATTGTTACTAATGGGAACTAGTAACCCCCATTGCTAGCAATGTACCATGTTAGGTCGACCTCCACGCGGTTCCTCCTGGATGTCATCGTGATAAATTCCTAGTAAATTTGTCATGATGGCCCAAGTGACCTGACCTCGTACTAATCTATTATCCTCCACTGGTGCCCCGCCAGCGTAAATCGTTAGCGCAGGCGGGTGCACCATTTCATTATCATCTCCCTAAAAAATAGGCGTAAGAGAACAAAGACCATATGAAAAAAATGTACTCTTCAGAAAATGTTTCCCTTTGAACCTACTTGTATAGAACTAAATATAAAAGCAGTCATTCCCTAGTACTTACACATCATTACTAAGAACATGGTATAATATTGCCACGTCTACGTATACCCAACTTCTACCTACAAAATCATAGCAATATGGTAGTTATGTAGATAGGCATTTCTTACAATAAGTTATTTTAATTAAATTATAAATAATGGGATATTTATCTAAGCGTACAGCTAATAAAAATAACAGAAAATACAAAATATTATTTTCGAATTACATACTAGTGTGCCTATGTTGTGGCATCACAAAATCCATTGTTTCTACTTAACATCCGTAATGTAAAACATAATCTCAGATTCGTTATATTACAAAGGTGCACTAAAACACAACATCACCTGTCTGACAAAGGCTCGTAAACCAAATGGTAAATATTTTACTCACCTATTGTGGATATGTAAATATCGTAATATCTCTCATCACAATATCTATGCACAATACACGTTTTGCCTACATTAGAATCGCCTAAAACTAAAAGTTTATACGTTGCAGAAAAGTCTAGAGCCATTTTTTGTTTACTTTGTTGATGTGAATGCGAGTGTTGGCTCAAAACATCGGTGGAACTGTCAAAGTGAGAAAAATCAATGAGGGTAAGTACGCATGCGCGGGTTCGCCCCTGTTGTCTTGCAACAAGTAAATATCGTTACTTTTGTAGCACTTTTGTGTGTAGTACTAAAATATGTAGACATCAATGCGAATACCTACATTGTTTCGTTATATAAATTCACAATTCATCAAATAGATAATTAAAGTACTTATATATACTCCAACAATATAATTGGAGTAATTAAGAACAGATAATATATACATTACTAACTATTACAATCGATGTCGTCTGCCTTTTTTAGATAAAAGATATCCTGTGTTCAAGCTCCTGTTTCAATGTATATTCGTCAAACATTAAGATTCTTTACGCAGACAACAGACAGACACTTGTATTATTCATAATATTAGTACCTATGTATTTAACAATTTATTCTTTTCATTGTTGTGAATGTTGATACTTAGTTCTATTTTTGTCTTATTTTAATTTCATAAATTCATAGTGAATTATATGAAGTAACGTCCCTAGTTAGATCAGACGAAGTTAGGGACCGAGGTACACCTTCCGGGTGTCGTGGGTGTAATACCAAGGTAAATAATACCGCTTGAATTATTGTTTCTTAATGTCAGCGGTATAAAGTCGATAATTGAGTACAATCTCTCAAAGCCACATTAAGAGCTCCATTTATTTTACTTAAATCCTCGATAGTGCATATCGCGTCGATTCATCTCGGTAGTCAATGTAGTTGTATGTAAATGTCCTATGTATTCATATTAAATGGCCCAAGTTGGCGATCTGTTATCACACCTTATGTTTTGTTTATTTTATTCCGTGCACGCCAGGATCTGTGAAGTTCAAGGTTTAATATATGGTATTGGAGATGAATAAAATATTTCTATATGTACATTTACCTATTTAAATTAATTCATAAAATCCTTTATGGCATGAATATTTTATCAACTGATAATAATTCTTATAATAGGTAAGTATAACTGTTTAAGATTTTATTTTTATTTGATATTCACTATACGTGTGTGTAGGCCTCTGCCTACATTGTCCATTTAATGTGCGATGCAACGCCAGGCGCCAAGTGAAGGCCAGACGGCCCGTGTTTTTCTTATTGCACTGTAAAATAAATATTATGAAAGCTATAAATATCTACTGCAGGTATTTGATTTGAATTTATTACTACTACTTCTACTGGATTAATTATGTCTCTAGTTATTTTTATAACTATATATGCGAAAATTATCAGATTTGGTATTGTTATCAGGAATATGTCTTATGGAAAGTGTATAATATGAATGTGGATGGATGTATGTAAAGGGAGAGGATGCCCTAAGAAAAGATGGATGGATTGTGTGAAAGATGATATGAATAAAAGAAGAGTATGTTTAGATATGACGATTGATAGAGATCAGTGGAAGAGAATGACATACTGCGCCGACCCCAAATAATTATAAAACAATGATGATGATAGTCTCATTATCTTTAATTATCACGTATTGTACTCTGAAACGTTGCGACGAACGTATAATTAATTTAACGTCGAATTCAAAACATAGTAGAACTTTCATTAAATTCCCGTAAATAATTATAAAACTGATCATATAGTCTCTTGTGGTTAATTTTACATACATTAATTAATTTAACGTAATCCAAGAAAACAACAAACAATAACACATCTCACGACATCACACAATTAAAAATAGGTAAGGTATTATTAATAGATTTATATTAAACTAAATATTTTTATTATTTATAGTTATGTTTCTTTACCTATTTTATAAAGAATATGTTATTTTAAGTTGCTTTAAAAACTGCCTATTCCGTAATTTCATCACGTCTACCGGCACATCACATCATTCCATACCGAACACATCATTCCATGTCATACAGTAGCTACTAAACCACTATCTTGCGTCTGCGCATGAAGTACAACTTCATTTGTCAAACAACCGCAAACCAAAGTTACTGCCGTCAGCTTAGCTTGATGTATTGTAAATAGCTACAATTTTGACATTCGCGTTCCGTTTTACCATTCACGACTGTTTATACCACATTTGTTTGACTTCTGTGTTTCCTCGTAATTTAGCGTCAGATGACGAATGCTCATTGCGCCGTTGTTCAGATGCCGCTCAGGTGTACAGGAATGGATTTACTATTCCGCTTCTGGCATTGTTTTGTGGCACACAAATTATACAGGCTTCACATAAATAATTTTGCTAGTCTGCCTATCTTGGGTTTCATGTCTGAATACCACAAAAGTAAGATAATAGATGCCGCCGCAGGCGTTATGGTGCTCTTAACGTGTCTACCTGGCAACTTGTCATTTTACCGGCCAGTTACCGGCTACAGTCATAGTCTCACTTTAATATCAATTAGACTATCACTTTCAGTCCTGAGTGCTTTATTGTTAGTTGTGTGATCGTTTTTTATTTAATGAGTGTGCAGATCCGGCCGATAGTTACCTAATCACTGAAGTGACGCACTTGTGGGAATATTGGTCTTGAGCAATTTCTTTGAACTTTATCAGTCTGTCCGGTCCGTGGGCGATCTCTTTAAGTGATCGTTGCATTTCATCTAGCGAAACGGTATTCATCAATCATATAAACAGATAGACAATTTGGTTGATTTATATTATTGCTCGAAAGTAGATACGTAAGTACCTACTCTGATACCCATAAGACATTTAATACAAATTTATTATTTATCCATTAATCATAAATTTTAAATAAAATAATTGGTATTTTAAATAAAATAAAGAAGGTTTGCAGTATTGTTTATTTTAGCTCGTAATTCTTGATTCATGTCCTTTTTATTGAGTAATACAGTTTCACCAACAAAGGAATATGAAATTTGTGCTTGGAAACAATTTTTTGTCTATAATTAATGATGTAGAAATTATAATTACTTCATACCAGCAACTACGATATCCGCGACTACGTTGCTTTTTTTTAAATAAAAATATTCTATGTCCTTGTGAATATATATATATACTCACAAGGACATAGAATATTTTTATACAAAGAATTTATTATGACTATGATCCGTTCAGCCATTTGGTCGTTTAAACCTGAAACACACTTTCGCATTTACATTAGTAGTATGGATTTATTTTTTTATTCTTAATATTAATGCGATTTATTGTTAATAATGAAGCAAATTAATTATTAAAGTGGTTTTTAAGTACCAGAACACTATTTAAGTGATAAAGTATATAAACATAAAGTAAAAATAGCCACATTAGCATTTTATAAAGGGCAAAATAAATATGCTAATAGCTTCGAATGTTCGAAAAATTCTCATGTTTTCCTTATGACACTTATTTATATCCTTTCTTTGAGAATGTTTAATTTGCTCTCAGATCTCATTGTGATACAGTGTTTGAAGTGCTGTGAAGCTGACCTCCACAGCAGTGAGATCGTCGGTTCCGGGACCATGTGTGACAAGCGGCGCATTGTTCGCAAATTGTTATTTGCAAGGTCCCGTCTTAAATGCCATTTTTGTTGGCGCCAACATTGCTAAACGGGAAGGCGCGTCGCTCATATTATTTGTCACAAGCCTACAAACAGTATGTTTGCTTATTAACCCAAACATTCTATAGAGAACGATAAAGTCGAAGACAAATATTTGTGTAACCTCATATATTTTAAGGCTAAGAATTTGTGGTCCGTAGTAGAAGAAAAAAACTCTAAACATCTTAACTGGAGAGGTTGGCATATTATTAGTTAATTTGTTATCGATCTATAAAAGTGCATTCAATCTGGATCACTGCCATTAAGTTATAATGGATTGAGATGAGCATATTATACTCTATAGGTTGAGAGCAATCGATAGCATCGCGATTTTTAGTAATATCTCTAATAGGTTCACTTAGATCTATTGCAAATAAATGCTTCTAAAGGATATTAATACATAATTTGAAACTTGCACTACTATCTATAGTGTTCAGTTTGAAATAAAAATAGCCTGAAGTAAAAATATTATCTTTACGAAAAGAAAAAAGTTTAGCCTACTGTATCACTCTCGGATGGTCATGAATTCGACTAGTAATTTTATAAGATCTAGCAATTTTTAATACTATTTTATTGTGTGAACAGATAACAAATAAGAGATCAAATATTATTTACTAGAAAGACATAGTTTATGAAATAGGTATCTATGGGTTTTAATATTATAATATATCAAATCATTATGAATACTCGCAATATTGCTTCACGACCGCCAAACAAAAAGGCATATTGCCCGTTAATCATAAGTTCACCAATAGATCTGTATCCAAGCTGAGGTTAATGTTGCTGGGTAATTTAATAGCGTCTGTCCTTTTAACGCTTAATATGCGATATATCAAAGTCAGAAGGAGCGACTCTTCAATAGGAAGTGTAATGAATACGCCTAAGCATGAATTGAGGAAGTATTTTCTAGTCAGCTATATTAAGATACTGGATGGTACATAATTTTTAATTATACTTAATCTCAATAATAAGCGCATTTATCTCTTATTTGTTATGTAATACTAATTACGTAATACACAAGTCACAACATATAGAATAAAAAAATATAACCATCTAACTGAAAACGTTTGAAACGAAGTTTGCAGCATAATTAGATCAGCAGTATTAAATCCTAATATTATGATAGTTTGAATTTAGAACTCACTCAATACATACAGATATGATAAGAAATAATACAGATTTTATTCGTTTCCATTCCGATGGATTAAGACATCATTTGCCCCTTATTCTACAAATTCACTGCTTTGTCATCCTTCAACCAAAACAAGTATTACAAAATAAACTGCTTTATATAGGTAAGTCTGAGGTACCCATGTACACGACTTTTTATGACGTCTACCTTGGTAAAAATACAGGTGTTTTTAACTATTTATTTTTATGTTCCCTCTGCATAAAGTAGAATTTCTATCAGAGAAAAACGATGTGTATGTCTATTCCATTATGAAATAATCTGTGATATTATGCTTCTATTGATAGTTCTCAATAGAACA